CTTCCTACTCAGCCCATGCCCCAGAAAGAGGAAAAAAATAAAAATAAACCTTCTCCTTGCTGTCTTAAAAATAAAAACTGTTCAAACTGAATGTCCCTCCTTTCTACTTCCTGTGTGTCTGGCTCTCCTTTCTCTGGGCTTCCTCTCTCTGTTTCTTGTTTTGTTTTGTTTTTTATGTTTACTCCCTGTCAACTGGTGGCTTGCTCTGCGCCTCGACCTATGGTTGACTTTATTTAATCCAGTTCACAGAAAGCTCTCGGATTGTGTGTGCTAGCACTGAGCCACACACAACTAGAAACAGGTTCAGAGTTCCCAGTGTGGTCAAATACCCTGCAACAAATTTTTCTTTATTCTTTTGTTTTTGGCTTTTTTGAGACAGGGCCTTATGTAGCCCTTGCTGTCCTGGAGATCAGGCTGGCCAACTCCGAGATCTGCCTGCCTCTGCCGCCCAAGTGTTGGGATTGAAGATGTGCACTGGCATGCCCAGCCAAAAGAGACTTTCAGTAAAGATATTTCTTCCTCTTACTAAATGTCCTTTTTCCCCACCGTGGCTGGCCTGTAATTCAGAGATCTGCTTGCTTCTGCCTGTGCTAAGAGTGCACATCACCACATCACCACCTGCTGCCTGTCCCTAGGTTTCTGATCGCGCTTTGGGGTGGGGCAGGGGGTGGTTGTTGTTGTTTGGGGGAAGTTGCTTTGTGAACCAGGCTGGCCTTGAACTCACAGACATCTGCCTGCCTCTGCCTCCCTGAGTGCTGGCATGAAAGGTGTGTGCCCAGCATTGCTTTTGTTTTTTAAAATACAGTTTTACCGTGTAGTTGAAGCTGGCTTCAAACTTGCTTCTTCAGCCTCCAAAGTACCAACTAGCTGTGAGCCACCACTCCCAGCCTGAGCACTAGTTGTTTTGTTCTGGTGTTTGGCCTCTGTAGCATTGGCCTTTCCCTTCAGTTGACTGGGTCTGAACTCCTTCCTGGCTCTGTGCTGCGCTTGCACTTAGGAAACCTCCCACCTCTGCCCCGCCCTCAAAGCCAGTAATGACCCATGCTCCAAAGAGGGTTTAGTGCTCACAGCTGGAGTGCTCAAGTCCTCCCAAGATAACCTGCTGCTTACTAGCCTCTTGACCTGCCTGGGATTTTTTTCTCCTGCTCAGTAAGAAGGGGGTGGGGTTTCCAACAGTTTAAACTTAGGCTTGCTGGATGTTACTGCTCCTGACATTATTAAACAGCACAGTCCATGTCCTGTGAGCCTGTGTCTGAAGGGCCAGGTTGGGTGAGCACACGGGCTCCTGTGCCTGGAACAGGTCTGCTCCTGGAAGCATTCCTTCCAACGCTCCCAGCGCAGGGAGATCCTGCAAGTCCTCTCCCGTTCAGTCCCTTCCTTACGAGTTTTACCTCACTATTATGCATGTGTGCAGAAGATCCCCCCCGCCCCCAACACTATTCTGCCTGTCAAGCAATGGCTGTAAAACCCTCAGGGGCTGTAGTTAAACCTTAGCATGGGGCAGCTCCTCAGTTCAGAATCTGTGAAGGCTGACACACAGCAGCACTATCTCACCCCTGGTTCAAATTAGAGGACCAGTGGGCTTATGGAAAATTTATGTAACAGATCAATTTTACATTATGGAAATGGCTACGTCACTGGTAAAATATTTGCCTTCCAAGCCTGAAGACCTGCATTCTGATCCCCAGGACGCAGGGAAAGGATCTGTAATCCCCAAGCTGAAGAGATAGAAACTCAAACAGAAAGGATTTGGGATGACCAGAACTTGAAGTTGCCCTCTGACCTCCCCATGCATGCCATGAACCTGTCCCTGTACCCACATGAATGCAAACATACCTACATATATACAAACACAGTCAGTTTTCTGTAGACTGTGGTTTCCTACAGTGTGCCCAGCTTTAGACCAAAGATGTAATCCAGTCCTTCCTGCCTCTTTGAGGATACTGGAGACAGGTTCTGCATAGGCAGCCAGTCTGGCTGGCTTGAACTTACTGAGTATACCAGTATGCCCTAAAATTTACAGAGATCCTCTTGTTTCCAGTGCCACTACAGCTAGCTTTCCTTTTAAAATGTATATGTGTGTATTGGGAGGGTGTGTGTGTTTGTGTGTGTTGGGAGGGTGGGGTTCATATAGCCACCAGCTTGACAAATCTGTCTTAACAGTCCTTCAGACTAGCTAGCCAGTGAGCTGCACCGCCTGGTGTCTGCCTCCCAGTACACCACCAGGCCCTACTCTGTAGGTAGATGCTGGGGTCAGGTCCTCATGCCCTTGGAACAAGCATTTCTTCCTCTTTTTTTTTTTTTCTCGATTGTTGACCAGTTTGGTCTCGAACTCACTGGGATCCACCTACCTCTGCCCGCCCACCCCACGTGCTGGGATAAAGGCATGCCACCACAGCCTGCTACAAGCATTTCTTTTTAAATTTACTATTCTAAATCAAAGATGTGTTTGCATACACGGTAATGCGGGTGCTCACAGAGGTCAGAGGAAGGAGGGCATCAGATCCCCTGGAGATGGATTTGCAGGCAGTTTGGGAGCCACCTGATGTGGGTGCTGGCAGCTGAACTCAGGTCCTCCACAGAAGACCAAATGTCACTGTGTGGCCTTGGCTAGCCTGGAACTCTGTGTAGACCAGGCTAGCCTCAAAGTCACAAAAGATTGACTTGCCTCTGCCTGTTGAATGCTAGGACTAAAAGCATGTGTCACACACACCTGGCAACTATGAGCTGATCCTCTTTCTACATCCCGAATGATAGGGTTTTACATATTTCACCCAGTTTGTGTCACTGGAAATCATCCCGGGGCTATGTGCTTGTTTGGTACCACCTGAGCCACACACTGGCCTTATAGTTTTTATTTGTGATCTGGAGGTTGGATCCCAAAGCCTTTCACGTGTGCAGGTCTTCACCCTACCCTGAGCTAAAGGTCTAGACCTTGAATCTGATTTTTCTGGCTCTGCTGGGCTATCATCATCGTGTGTGTGTGTGTGTGTGTGTGTGTGTGTGTGTGTGTGTGTGTGTTTCTCTAAGTGTGTGTTTCTCTAAGTGTGTGTTTCTCTAAGTGTGTGTAATCATCCCCATTACCTGGTCCCTGGCCTTACAGGGAAAGCAGGCAGGGAGATTTGCATAGCACCAAAACCAGATACAATGCAGTCTAGGAGACTGTTTTCTAAAAACTGTTTTCATTCAAGGGCTGTGGGAACCCAGCACTCAGTTAGTTCTCTTTTTGTTTGCTTTTTGATTTTTGAGACTGGGTTTCTCTGCGTAGCCCTGGCTGTCCTGGAACTTGCTCTGTAGACATAGTCTCAAACTCAGAGATCCACCTGCCTCTGCCTCCCGAGTGCTAGGATTAAAGGCGTGCAACTGGCACTCCAGTCTTTACCATTTTTACCATCATGCTAGTGCCTGGGGACCTTGTTTGCTGGTCACAGCTGTGGTGATTCAGGCACAGCCCATCAGCAAGCCCAGCAGGGAGCTCGGATATTATTCCACGGGCACTGCTGACCACCAGTGGCCACCAGTGACGAGGGCATGGGGTGCCCCTGGGCTTTTAGATGCTCACAGGAAGTGGCTTTGTGAGGAAAAAACTGAAGGTGCAGCAGGTAGTAACGGAGGAGGTTCCCATCCAGGCTGCCCAGTCACCAGCCAACGCAATGATGGAGCCAGTCCTGGGGACCAGCTCTCAGCTGCTGGTACCCTTCCTGCCTGCCGGCTTTCTCCTCATGGCGGATGTGCTCGTGATTCCTTGAGGAGGTTCTTTGTGCTGCAGGTAGTTGACGTTCTGGTCTTAGAGTCTGTTTGCCCACTTGTCTGCCTGTGTCTTGAACTGCTTGTCATGTACGAGTCTCTGACCCCTCTAAGAGCCAGCAGGATCACCTGTGTCTTATATTGCAAGACACATCTGGGCAGGAGTTAGCGCCTCTGCCAGGATGCTGCTGGGCAATGCTTCTGCAGCCTGGGACTCACCTCCTGGCTCCTACTTTTCTGGCCTGTTCCCCAGTGGTGGCAGCTACTTGTGTTTTGATTTTTGAAATGAAGGCTTGCTTGCTGTTCTGGAAAAGAAGCGAATGTGATTTGTGTCTGGCTAAAAGCACCCATGAATAAACTGTAAAGAGCTTAGGATTATGCCTTGATTTACTGCCTGTTGTGGGTAATGGCACATTCTCTTGCTTTAACAGATAGGTATGTCTGGTTCTGGCTTATGTCTAGTGTATAATATACATTTGCGCCTCTGTGTGTTAATGTACATTTCAGGCCTGGCCTTTCCGATCAGGAAAACATGATGAAACCATGTACTTGCCTAGAAACATTCCTTGGCTTACGAGGGGTTGTGTCCTGATGCACCCAACTCGCTAATTACGGCAACAACACAGGGCTGGCTGAGCTGTGGTTCACCGTCCAGTGCCACCAGAGCTGTGGTTTGGGCTTAGCCTGCACCCCTTGCAGCATCCCATTCTTTGACCCGATTTGAATAAGTGTCAAATCAGTGAGATGGCTAAGCAGATAAAGGCACTGGCCACAGACCCGACAGACAACCCGAGTTGGAACCCAGGACCTGCATGGTAGGAGGAAAGAACAGGCTTCCACCAGTTTCTTCTACCTCCACTCTTAATGTGGCACATGCATTTGCGTGTGTGTGTGTGTGTGTGTGTGTGTGTGTGTGTGTGTGAATAAACACAAGGAGTAACTGTAGGGCGTGTGCTTTGAGGCCTGGCCAACAGCAGAGTGCATTTAAAAGGTGAGCTTTCATGACTGTGCTTTGGCATCTGGGTTTGCACATAGGGTGTGATCTGTATTTATAGTGACAGCAGCCATGGCTCCAGATATGTTGCTTTTCTGTCCCGCTGCTGTCTGTGACTCTTGCAGACATGTCAGCTCACACCCCCCTTACAGTGTCGTGTCATGTGCCTGTTAGGCATGCATACACTTGTGTCTGGGCAAATCGGATGCCTTGACTTGGAGGTGTACGCATCCATACATGTGTTCTTCTCTGGTTCTAGCTGACACCGAAGATGTCTGCATTGTGGAGAGATTGTTCTCCAGCAGCCTGGTGGCCATTGTCAGCCTCAAAGCTCCCAGGAAGCTAAAGGTTTGCCACTTCAAGAAAGGAACTGAGATCTGCAACTACAGCTACTCCAACACCATCCTGGCGGTGAAGCTCAACAGGCAGGTGAGTAGCACCCTGTGCTGCACGCACCTCAGCTGGTAGAGTGCTTGCCAGCCATCCTCGTACGTCCTGGGCACATCCCATGCACAGCTAAAGTTGCCTGAGGTGGTGCACGCCTAGACTCTGGGCACTCTGAGAGATGGAGGCAGGAGGATCAGAAGTATGAGATCGAGGCTGGGGAGGTGCTGAGAGGTCTTGCTGTCTAAGTACAGGGATCTGAGTCTGAATCCCAGGAGCTGCAGAAAGAGCTGACCTGGCTGTGTGTTCCTCTAACCCCAGTGTTGCTGGGCAGTGGAGGAGGACTGTGTGGCTCACTGGCCTGCCCCAGGTTCAGTAAGAGACGCTGTCAAGGGAGGAAGGCAGAGGATACCTGAGCATGATGGGTGACGGCTCTGGCTTCCTAACCCCCGTTCCTCACAGGTGTGTGGATGCACACACCTAAGCACACCAAGCAAGGAAACCAAGTGTGAACTGCCTGTCATGCAGTGTCCCTCCCGTGTCTCACGCTGTTGGCCTTTCAGCTCTGAACCATTACCACCCCGTTCCTTCGCCATCATCTCTGCTTCCCTGTGTAGGTCTTTCTATGGGGTTTTGAGACAGGGTCTCTGTGTAGCCCTGGCTGTCCTGGAGCTTGCTGTGTAGACCAGGCTGGCCTCCAGTTGGAAGTGATTCACCTGCCTCTGCCTCTGCAGTGCTGGGATTAAGATGTGCGACACCACTGCCTGACTCCTGTGCACATTTGCTTCGCCAGTCCCACAGCTCCATTCTCCCAGCTTTGCTGAGGCAGTTCCCCCAGCCACACCGGCCCTGTCCCTGCCAGCACACTCCACTTGTCCTCAGGACATTAGTCTGGCTCTCAGGTTACTGTCAGCCTAAATGTTGGTCTAGGGATAGCATGGGCTTTTTATGCGGTGCCTTTCCTTTTATAAATGATACTTTTAAAAATCTGTTCCCTCTTTTTCTTCTTTGAGTTGTTGCTGTGACGTGTGATTTCCCCCAAACCAACAAAACAAACCCCCGGGCCACAACTTTGTATGGAGCCTTTGAGTGTGTTTCCTGACAGGCCGGGCCTCAGTCTGCACACAGGTAGCCAGTGCAGAAGCGCCTCCAGCATTGTTTTCTGTGTGCAGCAGCAGGCTGGAGAGCCTGCCTTCCTGTGAGAGCTGGATTCCAGCTAGCTAGACATGTGCCCCCTGGCTGGCTGACTCGACTAGGAATGAATTGGCCCCATCATCCCGTTCAGCTGGGAAGTGGTGGGACATATTAGATTGAACATTTTTCAAGTTTAAGACATAACAGACACACATTCCTATACAGCTGACACGAAGTGTGTGCCACGCTCCTCACAGATACCAACCCGACTGCATCATCCAAGAGCCTCAGTGTCCTGTCTGTAAAATGTGTGGCTCACACAGCCCTAACTCTAGCTCCTGGGGGATCCAGCGCCCTCTTCTGACGTCCTCAGGAACTAGGCACACAGTAGTGCCTAGCAGAATAACCCGTGTGCGCAGTACCATTTCGCACGCCTCATATAATCCCCTGTGCTTTTCGTATATTTGACCTGTGCCTCTTTCACTGCAGGTTTTGGGGGTTGGTGGGTTTTTTGTGGTACTCGGCATGGAACGTCAGTGCTAAGCCCCGTCTCCAGACCACTTTTACTTTTTATTTTGTGATGGGGCCTCAAACTTGCCTGCCTCAGTCTCTGCAGTGGGTGGAGAATGGGCCTGGGCCACCTGCCCAGGCTCACCAGGTTGCTGCTGGGGTTTTTGAGGTTTGGTGGGGGGGGGGGGGGTGATGTTTGTTGGGTTTTGTGTGTTTGTGTCAGTATGGGTGCATTTGTGGCCTGACATGAGTGGAGGTCAAAACATAGCCTCAGGTGGCAGTCCTTGCCTTCCGCCTTATTTGAGGCAGGGTGTCTTGTTTGCCACTGTGTACTCCAGCCAGCTTACCAGTAAGCTTCCAGGGAATTCCTGTCTTCACCTTCCATCTTGCTATAATGGCACAGCCTCATCCTGCATTATGTGGGTGTTAGGGTCTGAACTCCAGCCCTCACTCTGACACAGTAAGTGCCATTATGCACTGAGCCATCTCAGCCCTCACCATAGTTGTCTAAAGCAGTTTGCCTTCGTAGATCTCTCTCACCTTCACCTAAGAACGTGGCACTGAAGTAAGTCACCTGTGCGAACTCACAGTGCCCTTGGCATGTGTGGTTGTGGGAGCCTGTGTGGACGGCTCCAGAGCCTTGCTGGCAGTGGGAAGGCAGCGGCACACACTTGCGCTGTGCACAGCAGCCTGCATGCTGTCCTAGGAGTGGAGAAGATCTTAGGCCGGGGGTCAGCTCAGGTGGAACACGGCACGTGTGGCCCCATGTGTGCCCCATCATGTGTGGTGATCTTTGTTCTTGCTGTCTCTAGAGGCTCATTGTATGTCTGGAAGAGTCGCTCTATATACACAACATCCGGGACATGAAGGTACTTCATACCATTCGAGAGACACCCCCAAACCCTGCAGGTAAGCCACTGCTAAGCATGTAGGAGCCCTTACCACTGAGTATCCACATTGAGGCAGGAGAGAACTGACTCCTACAACTTGTCCTCTGACCTTACCATGCACGCACGCGCGCACACACACACAGCAAAAATAAAAGGAAGATCTTTGGGGGGGACGGCCTTTTACGGATGACTACGGACCAGTGAGATGACTCAACAAGTAAGTGGGCACTTACTGCCAACCCTGACCTGAGTGCCACTCCCAGAACACATGTGGTGCGGGGAGAGAATTGAGCCCTTCAGGTTGTCCTGACTAGCACACACCCTGGCACACACACATGCACACTAAATAAACATGTAATAAAGGTGGCTGAAGGTGGGAATTTCCTCTGGTCTGCACACAGTCAGGTGTAAAATGTGGCAGGTGGAAGCTGAGCGGCCTTCCTGCTGGAGCCAGCCTGCTAAGCCACCTTCCCAGCTGTCTCATGAGCATGTAGGCTCATTGATTGGGTGAGCTTTAGCCTGGCCTGCAGTCATTCCAGACCACAGGTCTTTCGTCAGTGAATGATACCAACATCACCCTGGATGGCTGGGGCAGACATCTTGAGAGAGTTATACAGAGGTTTACTTGACACTTTCTATTGTTTTGTTCTAGAAATGTTAACTCCACACTAACCCTGCCAGGTATCCATCCTCTAGACTCAGTTTGAGTTCAGTTGTCATGTGTCTCCACAGGCTTGTGTGCCCTGTCAATAAACAATGACAACTGCTACTTGGCGTACCCTGGGAGTGCGACCATCGGAGAGGTGCAGGTCTTCGACACCATCAACTTGGTGAGATATGTCTTGCTGGGAAGGCACGGGGTGGCCTCCCTGGCTCAGCAGCGTGGCCTTCCTTTCCTGGTGCTCTTCTGAGGTGGCCCAGCAGCCCTGGCTGAGCCGCCTGTGTCTCCCCAGTGCTCACGCCGTGCTGAGCTCCAGGGTGTGCTTGTTGGCAGACCCCAGCAAACAGGGCCAGCGGCTCTGCTTGTTGTAGCTGAGCAGTGTTTCCACAGGCCTGCCACGAGGCTCCGCCACTCCTTTTGGCCTTAGTAATGGTGTGCTAACAGTTATTTCTACCTGATGGCTCTTGGGTGACAGTCATGTTTTCTCTATTTCCCCCTTTCAGAGAGCTGCAAACATGATCCCGGCTCATGACAGTCCCTTAGCAGCCCTGGCTTTTGATGCAAGTGGGACCAAGCTTGCCACCGCTTCTGAGAAGGTCTGTCTGCCATGGCACCTGGCTCACTGGCCTCCACGCTTTGGTCATACAGTCCAAGTTAACAAGCAGGTTATATGTTCCCCAGTGTTCAGAGAGGCCAGAACAGCCCAGTGTCAGTGGCTGCCATTGCTTGCTGTCCGCCTTCAAGAATGCCTGAGGGAAACGTGCAGAGGACCGACGGGCTAGTTAGTGCTCATCTGCTCTGTCTGTGAGCCTGTCCCACAGCTGAGAAAAGCAGTTCATATGGTAGCCAGGAGGGAGAGGGGGAGGGGCTGGGGTCCCCATAGTCCCTGTGTGGGCACACTTCCAAAGACTGGACTAACTTCCTCTAGGCCTTAGCTCTTGAAGGCTCCACCATCTTCCACTAGTGCCACAGGCTGTCACAGTGTGCCATTGTTTGACACACTGTGTGGACCAGTGGGATGGATCAGCAGGTGTGCATGTTGGTGCTTGTGTACATGTTCTCCTAGATACGGGTGTGTGTGCACACGTGGGGGAGGCCAAAGGTTGACGTACGACCTGAGCTTGATTCCTAAAACACGGAGGAGAGAACTGACTCCTGCCAGCTGTCTTGTGGCCTCCACCTGTGCACTGTGGTGGATGCGCGCGCACACACAGTTACTAAAAGAGAGAAAAGCCAGTGCTTGTTCGTGGCATGAAATAGAAAAACATCAGGCATGGCTGTGATCAAGACACATGTGGGTCTGTGAAGCCAGAGCCAGTCTGATCCACACAGTGAGTTCCAGCCAACCAGGGCCAGAATGGGACCTTGTCTCAGTCTCAAAAACAATAACAACAACAACAAAAATCACTTTTAATATAGTTTTGCTCTTGATGTTTTGTTGGGTTGTTTGTTTGTTTTCAGGATTTGTTGTTTTTTTTTGTTTTGAGACAAGGTTTCTCTGTGTAGCCCTGCCTGTCCTGGAACTCACTTTGTAGATCAAGCTGGCCTCAAACTTAAATATCTGCTGCGTCTGTCTCCTGGCTGTAATATTTTTAAACATCACTATTTTGGGATGTTGATGTTGTCTCTTACATGTTGTTTTTGCCGGTAATGTCATGTTTAAGTCATGTGTAAACCCAAGTGTGTGTGTCTGATTATGAACTTAAGAGATTCCGATAGAGAGGATCTGTGGCGGTGGCTAAGGGCGCGCTGCTGCAGTGTGCTCCACAGTCGGCGTCAAGGCTGCTCGCGTCCAGATGAGTCGGCTGACTTTAAGCAGTGCCTGTAGGGGTGAGCAAGAAGAGGCTGGAACACTGGTCTGTGGCATCGGGGCTCCATACACCCCAGAACTGGAGCGCAGAGAGGAGGCTGGAGCCCCCTTGAGCTCCTGCCAGCAGCCGCATGGCTTGTCCATGTGTAGAATGATGTAAGAGAAGACTAAAAGTCAATTTAATTTTTTTATTTTTTTGCTCAACTAAAATTCTGTTTTCTTCCCCCTTTTTCCTCTCTCTGACCTAGGGGACTGTGATTCGGGTGTTTTCCATTCCAGAGGGACAAAAGCTGTTTGAGTTCCGGAGAGGAGTGAAGAGGTGAAGTACAGGCGTTTGTTCCCAGGCTGGCTACAGAGGTTCCTTTTGGATTTCAGTATCTGCTGCCTGTGGTTAATCGAGGGGAGGCTTAGAAGGTGCCTCCCAGCACAAGCACGTCTCCTGGAACTGGTCTTGGAAGGGCAGCACAAGCCTTGCTCCGAGAGCCGCCTGACTCGCTAGAGGGGCCCTAAAAAGGCTTAGCACAGGACATTCGGGGTTCAGGACAGCAGCCCCACCTGCTTCCTGCCCCTGAGGTCCCGCCCAGCTCCCCTCCCCCAGCAGATATCTTGTGAGCTTTTCTTGAGGTTGGGGTTCCCTCTGTGACCTGCATGCCCACAGCATCCTGTTACTGTCCTGACACCCCAGTCCTCACTGCTGCTTAAGCAGATGCTGGAGCATAGTAGGACAGGCCTGGGCTGCGCTGCCTGGGTTCAAGCCCTTGACCATCGCTGTGACTGTGGTAAGGCAGCAGTGCGTCCCATAGCCTTGGCTCCCTCCTTCGACTGTGTAATGGCAGCCGAGGCTAAGAAGCACTTAGGAATGCGTGGCTGTCCTCCCTAGGGAACCTGCCACTGTCTGTCGTCACCTCCCTTTCTTGTTGGGGTGTCCCCGGGAGATAGAGCACACATGTTGTAGTCTGAGCAGTGTTTCCAAAGCCAGGAGCCAGGGGTGATGGGCGCACTGGAACTCCAGTCTCGCCCGGCCTGAGCTGTATAGTCAGGCCGTCTCAAAATACTAGACATCTCCTTCAGGGACTGCACCTCTGGGCTTCCCCATGTCACGCCTCTCTTGATCCTCTGTGCTCCTCTTGGTTCCCTGTGTCCAGTGCTTGCCCGGAGCCTCTCTGTACCCTCATTGTACCCCACATCCTTTCTAATCAACCTGTCTGCTTCTGCTGCCCAGTCAGGTATGGGTGTAGGATCTGCGTCTGGACACAGCCCAACCCTCCTGAGGTAGATCTGGCACTTAGCAGTCCAGAATGTGCCGCCTGCTGCATACTCTCCATCAGCCTGGGAACATTAGGCATGGGGCATTGGAAACACTCTTGTCCTAACACAGCGTGGTGGAGTAAAGGGAAAAAAAACATGTTTATTCAAGCTGTGGAATGTTTAGTGACCTTGGAGACCTGGGCTGGGAGGATTGCCTTAAAACATTACCAGGCTGCCGCCTGACCTGCCGGGCCAGACAGACACCACAGTTCCGTCTAATCTGCCTTTTCCACTCGTTGCCATCATCAGTGTTTGGGGGTTTGCTACATAAGTGATTGATGTGGCTAACACATTGGTTTGGGTTTTTAAACTTTCCCATCTTACTGCTTCTGTGTCCTAATCAGCTCTCAACATTTCTGAGCCTCCAGTCACCTGAGGGAGCCTCAGTTGAGGGCACGCCCCATCACATTGGCTGGTTGCTGTGTCTGAGAGAGTGTGTATATTTGATTGATGTAGAAGGCCATATCCCTGAGACAGTGGCGAACCAAGAGAGCATGCCAGGAAACAATGTTTGTCAGTAGTTTCTGCCTTCATTTTCTAGCTTGAATTCCTGTTTTAAGATCCCACAATGATATTGTGATCTGACACACTAAGGCCACCCAAGGTTACACAGTAAGACCCTCAACAAATAACAGAGATGCTCTTACCTCGTTTGATCACAAGCAGGTTCCTCTCTCCAGAGGAGGTGGCCAAGAAGAACAGAAAGACTTCTGTAGAGCCAAGTGTGTCTCTGACAAGATTGTTCTTTCTGTGGCCATACAAGTCCCTGGGGAAGCTGTACCCCTGCCCACCCCACAGCTGTTGCCAGTGTGTTCTGTGGTGGGTGGGCTGGGGCCTCTCACACCCCCTGTTCCTCAGGTGTGTGAGCATCTGCTCCCTGGCCTTCAGCATGGATGGCATGTTCCTCTCCGCATCTAGCAACACCGAAACTGTGCACATCTTCAAACTCGAGGCCGTGAGGGAAAAGTAAGTTGCAAAGACAAGTCTTTCTTTTTTCCTTTCTTTTCTTTTCTTTTTTCTTTCGTTTTTCTTTCAAGGCAGGGTTTCTCTGTGTAGCCCTGGTTGTCCTGGAACTCACTGTGTAGACCAGGCTGGCCTCCTACTCAGATATCTGCCTGACTTTGCCTCCTGAGTACTGGGATTAAAGGCATGTGCCACCAACTGGCTAAAAACCAGGTTTTTTACATGGTTTGTTGGGAATGGGAAGAACTGAGGACCAAACCTAGAGTCTCAGGAGTGTTGCAGGGAAACGCTACCACTGAGCTAGTTGGTCTCAACTTTTAAGGGTTGATAAGATGGCTCAGTGAGTACTGGTGCCAAGCCTGACAGCCTTCCCAGGGAACCATGTGATAGAAGGAGAGAAATAGGTCAAATACATTGGCCTCCAACCTGCACACACAAATTTTAAATTAATCTAAAAATAAAAACATCTACAAAATTGTAAACTGCTTACACTCATCAGAAAATCATGACACAGAGCCACTGTGTGGCACCGTTTCTGGGTGCAGACCCCATCTGCCTGTAGGGTGGGCATGACACCACCAAGTCTACCGTCAGCATAATCTGTGCTCAGAGGATGTTCTGATATCCCAGGGCAGAAAGGCATGAGAATCACAGCTCTGACCCAGGGAAGCGAGGAGCTGGGTGCTGCTCCTGCGACAGATTCCTGATAGAGAGACTTCCTGTATGTTTCCTGCACACATTCAAGAGCATCCCACTTGGGCCAGCATTGATGACAAGAGCCTGTTTCCCATCCAAAGACCCACACTGTGAGACAGAGCCCTGGCTCCCACAGTAGTCCTGGTCTCTGCAGTCAGGAGCGCACATGCTAAGGAAGCATGTGAGAGCTGCTGCTCCAGAAGGCTCCTGCTGGCTTGCTGTCACAGCCACAGCCACTGGGCGGGGAGAAAACAGGACACTCTGCTTTCCACGACACTCTGCTTTCCACGGCCGATGTTTGCCAAGCATGGAGGGTTGGCTCAGTCTAGGACTGACTCCTAGTTGTAGTTGTAGGTGAGAACCCAGTCTTACCTGTGTCATGGGGCTTCCTTCCAGGCCTCCGGAAGAGCCCACCACCTGGACTGGCTACTTCGGGAAGGTGCTCATGGCATCTACCAGCTACCTGCCCTCACAAGTGACAGAAATGTTCAGCCAGGGCAGGGCCTTTGCCACCGTCCGCCTGCCGTTCTGTGGCCACAAAAACATCTGCTCACTAGTCACGTGAGTGCATGCTGAGCCTGTGTCCCCACCATCTGCCCCATGCCCATCAGAGCCTGGGGACAGTGCTTGCCGCCTGGTTGCAGAGGTCTTGTGTGGCCCTGCTCAGCCTGGCTCGTCAAACCCTGCTGAGAGGACCCGCAGGCGCGAGGGCCTCACCACAGAGCCACCTTTGCATTTTACAGGGTGTTTGTGTGGATGAGAGCGTTAAGTCAGACAACGGGAAAGTGACACTGTTCAGTGGCAGTGCCCAGGAGCACACAGGTCCTGCTTGTGGGCTTGGGATTGTCGGCCTTGGAGCACTGGAAAGCTTGTCTGTAAGATGAGTGACAGCACAGCTCTGGCTCAGGAAATTGCCAGTGTTGCTGGAGTCTTACTGCTCTGCTAAAGTGAGCGAAAGCTTTATGGACAGGCCCACCCTCAGGCTGGGAGGTGCTCAGTGGGCAACAGCTCTGTCCTCAGCACCGACGTGTGGTCAAGTGTGGCCACACGGGCCTGTTTCCGGCACTGGGGGAGGCAGACCCAAGTGGGTCGCTAGGACTTGATGTCCATCAGCCTGCATCCAGGTGAAGTGGAGTAAAGCCCAGAGTGGTCCAGCAGGGCATCTCACGCCTCCTGGCTTCCCCATGGGCATGCACAGATGGGTGCACGCATGCGCACACACAGGAAGGAGAAAACACCCACCTTAGGGACCAAGAAGCTGACAGCCACCCCGCCCCATCATGTGTTCTTTGGGACTCAGTGTGTTCACACCCAGGCCATCCTTAGCCCTCCCAGCTTCCCTCAGAGGAGCCCAGGTACCGCCTTCACCTAACACCCTGGCTGGTGGGTTTCTTCCTAGCTCAGCTGAGATGTAGGCTTAGTCACGTGCCTTTGGTGAGGAAAGTCCTCCTTCTGAAACATGAAAACATAGCTGCTTTTCCTTAGAATTCAGAAGATCCCACGGTTGCTGGTAGGAGCATCAGATGGCTATTTGTACATGTACAACCTGGACCCCCAGGAAGGCGGCGAGTGCGCCCTGATGCGTCAGCACAGGTGAGGCTGCTCTGTGGAGGTCGGGGGCTGTGGGCTCTGTGGTGGGGCTGTGCATTCATCCGCTTCAGGCAGATGTGCCGGCCTGTGCCATTGGCAAGCATTGTCTCCCCATTGAAATTCATTTTTCTGGTGCTAAGACCCTTCTGCTTTACCTTTTTGGCCACTGGATACCTGCCCTTCAGGGCCAGGGAGAGAGGTGTCTGAGGCTGTGATGGTGACAATTGGGTAGCCCCCCAGGCTCCCGCTGTGGGTGAGGCTTGGGGTTTATAGTAAGGTGTCCTCACAGGAGCCTGCCGTCCCACATCAGGATTGGAGTAGGAAATTTGCACTTGGTGATTGGGATGTGTGGGCTTGGTCATACTTCCTGTGTTGAAGTCACTGGGAAATCCCAGGGGCAGAGTCTTGGTGTTGGTGGCAGGGTTGTGTCAGGCGTGAGCAGGCATCTGTGACACGCCGTCCTTGGCTGGCATCTCAGGCCCTAGGCCATGCTATACCTGTATCCATCTGTCCTGGAACAACTTGTTTTGTTTGAACCAGGACTTACTGTGTAGCTAAGGTTGGCCTTAAACTAAGGGGAATTTTCCTGCCTCAACCTCCCAAATGCTAGGGTTTTGAGACTGAGCCATCACACCTGGCCTCAAACATCAGGCCTGACCTGTTCATTTCCTGTCTCTAGGTTGGATGGCAGCATGGAGACAACCAGTGAAATAGTAGACTCTGCATCTCATGACTGCCCCTTAGTAACGCAGGCGTACGGCACAGCAGCTGCCAAGGGTGCCTACACGCCCTCATCCCCAACAAGACTCGGGAAAGGGCAGGATGCCAACTTAGAAGGTAACTGAGCAACAGCTTCCAGGACTCTTCCATAGTTGTCACTGGAGGTGTGCCATGGAGCGGGACTCCTTCAGGGCTGGGGAAAGGGGAAAGCAGTCATTGTGGCCAGTGACTGGCTGTGTGAGCCCACACACCTGCCACCTCTGTAAGCAGCGTGTCCTCCAGGCATCATGGACAGAGGCTGCCAGTGCTGATAGCTAAGGTCACTCAGGCATGGTTCTCTCCATCCATGCGGCTGACTTTCCCCAAACTCCAGCGGTTTGCTTGCAAGAGAGTTTGCGCTAGCTCTTATGCCAAGGAGCATCCATTCCACCATTCTCCAGCCTTTGCCCCTGAAAGTCTCCGTGGTCGCGCGGCAGAGTGCAGCCTGTACGTTCAGTTACCACTGTTCACTGTTCAGGCTTGTGTTGGGCTACTGCATGCTGGGAAATGGGTGACCTCGTCTGCCTCTGCCTGAGGCTGTAGAGGCCTGGCTCTATGACCAGGTTGGGAAGGTCTTGGTGTAGCCATAGCTCATAGTCGTGCCGTCTCCTGGACACAGTCTCTCGTTGGGGCCACAAGATCAGTAACGGGTGCCAGCTCCCTGAGGCTGTCACTCTTCTCATTGCAGCCTATACAGATGACCTGGGTGCCGTGGGTGGTGCATGCCTGGAGGGGGAAGCCAGCGCCCTGCGCCTGGATGAAGACAGTGAGCATCCTCCCATGATCCTCCGGACTGACTGATCCTGACCTGTGAACTCCAGCCCAGGAGCAGGCAACACTGGCCTGGCAGAGGATTTGTGCATTGCTGCTATGAACTTTGACCTGAATTAAGGGCGAGGATGGCAGAGACTTTAAAGCAAAGAGATTGTAGTTCTAGTCTGTCCATACTGTTGAGAAAATACACTGTTTTCACTTCAGTGACTTTAACCCTGCTTATGAATTTTAGCTTTTTATTTTCTCTTACCCTTTAATTTTTTTAATTATTTTTTTCTTGCCAAAATTAACCATTTGGTAAAGTCTGTGGAGTCTCCTTGCTTTGCATGTGTGATGTGCCAAGCCAGCATAGGAGAGCAAGTGGAGTGGCCGCTCCACAGCAAACCAGAGCTGTCAGGTCTCACGCCAGGGCATGCATGAAGAAAGTTCTGCGTGCACTGGATCTGCAGGGACAGGGCTTCTGTCAGGAGTCCTCTTGCCCCACTGCCTCACCTGGACCACTTTCCCTCCAGTTCATTAAACTTTCCAGATTGGATCATTCTGGGACTAACTTCCTCCATGGGGACTATTGTTTTGGGTCTTATTCTCCTTGGGGATGTTGAGTGGGAGAGAGGCAGTTTCTGTTCTGTGTGCCTTCTCTTCCGGCAGGTGAGCTTAGCAGATGGCAGGGCAGCCTGGAGCCAAGGAAGGTGATTTCGTCTGTGACGTTAACTCTCTGTTTCCTACTGTCCCCACCCGAGAACTGTGACTTGTTTTTTTGTTTTGTTTTGTTTTTATTTGGTTTTATTTTTAAAGGAGAGCCTGTAGCTTACTCCCATGCCCAAAAAAGCACAAAGGGTGAGCTGCAGCCTCAGGTGCGGGCCCCGCTGACCTGGAGCTGAGCTGTCTGCCACAGGCTCTCCCCCCCCGCCCCCAGAGGCGGCGGCAGCAAGTGGAGAGCCCCCTCCCCCCGGGCTGATGTGCCTTTTTCTATTTCGGTCTTACAGAGTACAGGAGTGAAGTCACATGTCTGTGCTGCCCTCCTGCTTGCTTTTGACTGTTGGGTGTCTTTGGGGGAAGGGCAGGGTCACACTGCGGCCCAGGCTGATCTCAAGCTTCGAGCAGTCCTCCTGCCTCAACTTCCTGAGAGCTACTCCAGGCGCCACTGTGCCGGCTTCTTTTTCAGCTCTAGGGAATGAAGGTTGAGGTCCTCAAGCGTGCATTCTAAAACACCTTGCGTGGAGCCCTGAGGTGTGCGCTGTTGCTTCTACAGCTTTGGAGCTGGAAGGAGGAGGATAATGTCTGGTCTCCAGGCTCACCGGCCCGGTCAGGCGTCTGGACAGGAGGCACTGAGGTAGCTGCCTTCAGTCCAGCCTGGTTATGTCTGGTTTGGGCAGGGTTTCTGCTGAGGTCCCCTGCTCTGTTGCGAAGGTGGCTGATGGCGTGGGTGGGGTACAGGGGGTGGACCCGTGTCCTGGAGCATCGGAGTAACCACACTGCACAGTGCCTGGCCTGAACCCTGAGAAGCTGGGACCCAGCCCGCCTGGGGCCTGGCACAGCCAGACAGCGCTGATGGCAACAGCCTGGGGGAAGCACACAGGACCGGGTAGGAGCCGTGGCTCCCTGGGACCAAGAGCGAATGTCTGGGTCCAAGTGTGACTTGAGACTCACTTTATGTGCTGAGGTTCTTTTGGAAGTTAGAGTTCCAAAAGTGTGTTACAATTCATGTCTCCTTTTTGGCCTGGGTTTCCTCACTTGAAAATTTGGTCAGGAAAGGCGGCTTCTAGTGTCCGAGGCTCTGCCTTCAGGCAGTGGTCTTGCCAAGCTGGACAGATTTGGTGAGCCAGCCTTCCTCTCTGGGGACAGATGTGCCTGTGCGTCCCACAGAGGTCAGGAAAGCTGCCCTCTGCGAAGCAATCTGCACCGCTTGCAGGCCTCGGGCTCTGTGGGGTGGGCACTCATTGTTGGGACTCAAATAGTGGAGCCAATTGAGGTGCCCTCACTTGAGGGCTGACCCCAGGCCTCACGCCAGTGGTCATTTTAAGACTTGTATTTCTCCAAAGTTAAGAGAAATTTGGAATCAGACGTTACAGGTGTGCACACCTGTAATCCCAGCCTTTAGGAGAGTGAGGCAGGAGGATTGCTGGGAGTTTGAGGTCAGCCTAGACTATATACTTCTGGGCAAGCCTGACTTACAGACTGAGACACTGTCTCAAAAAAGAAAGAAAGAAACCAAAGGATGACAACTTAAAAGACGATGGGAAACGGGAGTTTGAAAACCCCCAAAATTTGTAAGCTCAGTGTGGTTTGGGACCAAAGCTTTTGTATTTTCTAAAGCAATGAAAGCAAGAGTGGCGTCCCTCGCCCTGCCTACACTAACGGTGTGAGCTAGGAGCAGGTCTGGGGCCTCAGGTTGGACTGTACAAGAACCCTACCTCACAGGGTTGTTGTGAGGTGTGTGAGGGGATGGCCTGTGAACACCCAGCCCTGGGTGTGGCCAGCAGTGGACTCCAATAAACACTCAGAGTGAAACACGTCACGGGCTAAAGTGCATGGTTTCTGTTCGGCTCTGCTCTCTGCCTACAAAGCTAGGTGGAAGTCTGCCCTTGCCTGCCTTGTTCTGTGGTACAAAGGAGGAAGGGAGAACTGGAGTGTTCTGGGAGGTTGGTGTGGAGATGCCCCCACTGGGCATCGAGCCTGGGCTGCTCACGCAGGTCTGAGACCACAGGGCACACGGCTGCCCTCCCCTGCAGTGAATGCCGTGCCCAGCAGGGAGGGCTCCCTCCACTTGGAGCTGCCCAACTCTGCCCTCTGTAGACCCTGGAGCCTCCAGGCTGCAGCTGCTGCCAAGACGGGCTTGGTAACTTCATTCTCATGGTTGGACTTGGAGATGAGACTCGACAGCAGGTGGGCTGCTTGGAGAGGACTAGAATATTTTGGTCACAGCTCAGCTGAGACGAGAAATGTGTTCCTTGCTCAACTCCGCTGACCATGCTTCTTTTTGGTTTTGTTTTTTGAAATGATCTTACAATCTAGTCCAGGCTGCACTCAGACTCTTAAGACCATCCTGCCTCTGCCTCCTTCCATGCTCTGGGACTACAGGCGCGAGCCAGCAAACCCAACTCACTCATCCCTTATCGTAACATGATGCTGACTTAAAGGTGCATGCATGGCCCTACGGTCCCCTACCTTCAGTCCTTATAACGCCTGCCCTCTGTGGTAGGAATGGCCAGATCACTCGTTCCAAACATCTGGGGTCCCGGGTGTGAGGAGGGCTGGGCCAGGCCTGTGGTGGCCTGTGTGGGAAGTGTGTCAGGGAGAAAACTCCCTGGCAATGCACACTGCTTAGCTGCTTGCTGAGCACAAGGGCTTTTCTGCTCTTCAGGTTTTTTTGCCCTGACTGTAATCCTTGACCTGTCTTCTACTGTTTGCATTGTGTGGCTTGAGAAACACAGGGGGCGAAAGGGCAGGGCTGCTCTGGATTTGGAGGCAAGATCCCCTCTTCTCTGGTATCCAACAAGGAAAATCTCTTCATTTCAAGAAACCTCTTTCAAGCTCTGTTCAAGGGACTGTCCTGATCCCTTCCCTAGGCGTCATTTTGTGCTGAGGTGCAATTGGAAAATGCTCATTTTTTACATTTCCTTCAAAGGTAGAGCTGTTTCAGGTGCTGTGTGTGTGTGTGCGTGTGTGCGCGCGCGCGCGCGCGCGTGCATGCATGTGTGTGTGCACACGTCGCAGTGTCTGTCTCCAAGCCACAGCGATTACAAGTCCCTGGATCAGAGCTGGGTCGCTGGGTATATACATACATGCCTGTAACCCAACACTAGGGAGGTAGAGTGAGGAGGATGAGAACTTTGAGAGCACCCTTAGCTACACAGGGAATTCGGCGATGGTCTGGGATGCATTAAGACCTTGTTTTACCAAGCAGCCGTGGCGCACACCTTTAATCCCGGCACTTGGGAGGCGGAGGCAGGTGGATCTCTGAGTTTGAGGCCAGCCTGGTCTGACAAGCGAGTTCCAGAACAAAGGGGGTGGGGACATGACTGTCTGAGGGGGCTGGAGGTAGCTCAGGGCTTAAGAACACCGTCTGCCCCTCCAGGGGACCTGGGTTCAGCTCCTAGCACCCACGAGGTGACTCACGACTCTCTGCAAATCCAGGGGCTGTGGAGGCCTTTGTTGGCACCAGGCACTGATGTAGTGCACATACACACATGTAGGCATTAACACACACACACACACACACACACATATATATAAACTTTAAAAAGACCCTGTCTTAAAAATGGACAAAGCCGGGGCTGGAGAGACGGTTCCACGGTTAAGAGCACTGGCAGTTCTTCAGAGGACCTGGGTTCAGTTCCCAGCAGCCACATGGCAGCTCACAACGGTGTGTAACACCAAGCGCTAACACCCTAACACAGACACACTGTAGGCTAAACACCAGTGCACATAGAATAATTTTTAAAAATGGGCAAAGTTGGGCCAGAGAGATGACCCAGCAAGCAGCTAAGAGTGCTTAGCTGCAGAGGACATGAGTTCAGTTCCCAGCACAGGCGTTGGCTTGCAGCCACCTGTAGCTCCAGGCCCAAGAGCTCACCTGGACTCACAGACACACACAGTTAAAATGACAATTCTTTGATGGAGAGGGACAAGAGATGGCTCAGCAGTTATGAGCACTTACTGTTCTTGCTAAGGACCAGAGTGTTCCCAGCACCCCATAGAAGCTCACAACCACCTGTAACTCTACTTCCAGAAGATTCAGGACCCTCTACTGGCCATGGAGGGCAGGGCACACGTGGCGCACAGGCACACGTGCAAGCAAAACACCCATACACTCGGAATAAAAAAAAACTACGAAGGCCAACATGGGCTATGTAGTATATTCAAGGCCCTGTCTCCAAAAGTCAGACCAGGGCCATTGAGATGGCTCAGCAAGGAGATGCTGTTGCCCGCAGGCCTGGCGCCTTGAATTTATTCCACAAGGCAATAAAGAGACTCCTGCGAGTCGTCCTCCGGTGGCCACATGTGTCCCACGGTCTGCACACGCGCGCACAATCATTTTAATATTTTAAAAAGCAAACCAATAATAGGCTGAGCCCAGGCTGGATACCTGGGCTCGGGTGGTGGAGGCGGGAATGTTGAAAGTTCAAACCTGCCTGAGCAGCTTAATGAGCCCATCTCACAGAGGGGAAAGGCAAGGCCAGAGTGGCTCAGTGGTTAAGAAACACTTGCTCCTCTGGCAGAGGACCAGGGTTCGGTTCCCAGCATGCTTCACAACCACCTGAGCCTCCAGCTCCAGGACCCAGTGCCCTCCTCTGAGCTCCAGGGCCACCTGCACTCACCCGAACAGACCCGTACACCCACAGGCATACACACAGAGAATTTTAAAAATCATGTGGAAAGGATGAAAAGGCTGGGACATACCTCATGCATACCTCGTGTGGCACATGTGAGGCCCTGGGTTCAGTTCTTGCTACCATCAAAAGAACGGAGCCAAAGGTGGCCCCAGGGAAGCCTCCTCGATCGCCCTCCCTCCAGGAAGAGCCCGAAACAGCACTGAGACCCTGAGCATCCCCAGCCAGCCTTGGGCTAGAGCACCCACATCCCATGAGTGTGGACTCCCAGCTGCTCCAGGGGGGTCTTCAGTCCCAGAGCTCGTCCATGCGCACCACGTGGCCTCCCACACAGGAGGACAGGTGTGTAAATACACTCCAGAGCCATAGACAGTTAAGGGAGCAGGTGGGGCGGATTGCTGGGTTGGGGGCATCCCACAGAAGAGCAGGGCTCTGCTCCCAGCACCCAGCACAGTGGCAAAGCAAGTGCCTAACCTCAGCTCCGGAGGACTCCCTGCTCTCCTTGGTGGTGCACAGACACACAAAAAGAAACAAAACACTAAAGATGAATTCAGGGCAAGCAAAGATGGCTCAACAGCTTAAAGCCCTTACGCCTGCTGAACAGAGTTCAATCCCAGGGCCCACAGGAAAAGAAAAGAATCCACTTTAACTCGCCGCCATGGCACATGAACACGCAAGCGTCATAACATAAAGACATGCTGACATCTGGAAATAGAGGCTTCCCAGGCTAGGGACCTGTATGCTCACCACAGCCCATCCTCGGGCTTCTGTGAAGGCAGCCCTCCTATGGGTTGTGTTTGACGCCTGAAACCAGAGGGTCACCGGCAAATCACTGGAGGAGACAGCCTGTGAACCCAAGGCCCCAGGTCAGGCCTGGCGCCTGGAGGACTAGCCTGGCTTTCCTCACAGCCACTAGGTGGCACACGTCGGCAGGGCGGAGCGTCCGTGAAGCTGAGCGGTGAGACCCCCTCAGTGCGGCCTGGCCTGAAACTGCAAATGTGACACAAAAAAACTCCATTTCAAAAATATTTATTGATTCGGTTTGTCTATGATGTATAAATGCCAGGGGGCACCACAGCCCTCAAAGACAACTTCTGACACAATGGGAATGTCTCTATCACGTCAACACTCCCTTGGGGCTCATCAAAGGCGTGCTTCTGGAAAACTTGGTCCTCCAGGGAGAGGTGAGGGAACAAGGCAACAACAGTTCACGTGATTGGAAGGCTCCCACAGACTGCACGCTTGGTCCCCGACCAGTGGCGGAGGCGGCAGAGGCCTGGGGGCCCTTTCCAGGCAAGGAGAGAAACAGTCATCAAGTGTGTTCCATCTGGTAAGAGCGGGTCTAAGTGCCCATTGCCCAGGAGAACGGAGGAGGGTGTGAGGACAGAGCCAGCCACGGAGCCGCCGCCTGGTCTCCGAGGCTGCCATCCCGGGATGAGGACCACAGCGGACGCAGCAGTGGGCCAGCCTCCTGCTGGAACCCCCTTGGCCCTTGATGTGGCTGGAGTGCAGCCTCCCACTGTAACTTACCACCCACACTGGCCCAGCGCCGTCCAGATGCCACACCTCCAGGGAAGGCCCAAAAATGGCTCCCGGAAGGGACGTCGCCGTGGAGAGGCAGCCCCGGCTGGGCTCTGTGTCCACCCTGCCTCCTTCAGGTAGCTTCTGGTCAGCAGGTGTTATTTATGCCCTCAATTACATCAGCAAATGAAATGCACCCTGTGGCCAGCGAAGGCATTCATTGGCTTCGGGCAGACGCGGCGGGCAGGGCAGGGTGAGCGTGCCCGGTGCTGCCGCCTCTGTGCTCTGGGCTCTAGCGAGCACCTGCTTCTGCTATTTTTTTCACTTGCTTCCCCTTGTGCTTTTGGCTTAGGTTCTGAGGGTCTGGATTCAGGTCCTCATGCTTGCAAGGCAATACCAACTGGGCAACTGAGACCGCCCAGACCCAACGCTGTTTAAAAGGGGGTTCGTCGACTTTTTTTTATGGTTTTCCAAGACCTAGTCTCTCTGTGGAGCCTTGGCTGTCCTGGAACTCCCTCTGCAGGCCAGGCTGGCCTCGACCCTGCCTCTGCCTCCCGGGTGCTGGGATTAAAGGTGCGCAATGCTACACTGGACAGTTTTTGTTTCCAGCCCTAAGGTGCCTGGAACTTTTTGTGTAGATCAGGCTGGTCTCAAACTGGTG